AGGATGGACGAACGAACGAACGAACGAACGAACGAACGAACGAACGAACGAACGAACGAACGAACGAATGAGTAAATGAATGAATGAATGAACATTTGAGATTTAAAAAAACGGAAAAAAAAGAAGGTAAGAAAGAATGAGCAAAGGAAAAATGGCAACAAATTTCGAGAGAGTGATTTAACGTTACTTTGATCTCATATTCCATTCACACCAGAATATATAAATCGCTTCCCTTCACAGTTCCCTGCGTCATATCTTGAAAGGTTACCGTCCCTGTGCGTCGAAGAGCGAACGGCGGTAGCCTTGCACTGGTAGAGACCTTTTTTACTCTAGCGTAGGGAGAGGAGTACATGCTCCCCCCCCCCCCCCCCCCCCACCCACAAAAAATTGCACTCGACACAAAAATGTAATTAATTCATACGGGTTTCCTTTGGATTTGGCGGGAAAATTATACATGACCCCTCCCCCCCTCCCCCATAATCGGGACCTCGCTACGCTCCCTGTGTCTCTATCATTTCATCAAGGTCACTGTCGTCCGCTCTTCGATGCACAGGCACGGTTGCCTTTCAAGATGGCGCAGGGAACTGTCAAGAAARCTGTTCCTCACCATGTTTTCCGTGTGACGTAGTAATAGGTGTAGTGAGTCGGGAAACCGTTGAAGCGAGTTGAGACGGAACGCGTATAGGCACCCATGTTCTCGAAATACATCCAGTCACCAGGAGACAGCTGATGATACATAACATAATAGTATAATAAATACCAATATTTAAGGAATATAAAACGCGCGCGGGTGTTATTGTACTGTAATATAAACACGCTGGAAACTGTAGAGCGAGAAGCAAGCTTGCTTCTCTTGCTTCTCGAGTGCCCTAAATCTCCCAAAGTGTTTATATAACAGTACAGAGACATAAGCAGCCAATGATTTTGCGCGAGCGTCTTTCTGTCCTCTGATATAAACACGGTAGCCAGCCAATCAGCGCGGGCCTTAAATMTCAAATATTTTATAAAGCCTGACTAATAGAGTATTTTTAACAAAAGTGAATTTGATAAATAACGGAGAGAGAGTTTTTTGTTTTTTTCAAATTTTATTTATCTCTGCAAGCAGCACAAATCGACAAACGAGCGTGCGCGTGCAAGTGGGCGTGTGCGTTATAATRTTTAACAATTATTCGCCGAGACGCGAGTCTTCGAGCGGCGAGGTAAATATTCCCCAATAATCACTGAGCCTGAGGCAAATAATTGCTTTAGTATAAATACAGAGGTGATTCTTTCAAAAAAATAAAAAAAGAAGATAAAAGGCATTTTTTCCCGGTAACAGCAACAAAGCGGCTGGCCGCCATTTTGGATTTTCTCTCGAGGTGATTATCGTGTGATAGTGTGAGTTTCTTGACCAATCAGCGCGCGAGACTTTCTATAATCACCTGTGTATTCTTACTAAAGCAGCATAAGACGTAAATTGTGACCAATGAGCGCGCAGGATTAATTATATTTGCTAATTGTAAAAATACTAAACATTAATATATACTCATAAACAATGTTGCTATTGATTTACAGATTAGGGGATGAAAAGAAGGACGGCCGTGTGATGTGAAGTATGGTCGCCTCGTTGGATGGAAGAAAAGTGCTATTATTTTGCGTCTATCATACAGGGAGTGTTCGCTCAATCTTCCTATCCAGAGGGTCATGATTAAAGTAATCCCCGTCTACAGGTGAGAGGCAGGCATTTTACCACCACGCCATCCTGACTCTATATGTTTAATGCGTTTCCCCTGGCTAAGAAAAGATTACAGTGCATACCATATATCCGTGAAAAAGTTAACTAACAAAATTGTACAAATTAGTGCAAAGTTTTGTAGGTCTACGGTCTACTGAGGTCTACTGAACTTACTAATTTGTGCAGTTTCTTACGAAGTTTTTTWAAGGATTTATGGTATGCACTTTATTGAAGAAATAGAAAACGCGCGCGCGTGCTGTGTGCAATTATAAAGCACGCGCAGGTTGGCAGAACACGAGAGAAATGTCGAGAAGCACGACGCGAAGCGAAGTCACTTCTCTAGTGTTATGCCAATCCCTAAGTGCTTTATGACTGCACACAGCACAGCAAGCAAGTTTTTTATTTCTTTTATAAAATACAAATTACGATAACCGTTATTTTAGATAGGAATGACGCTACTGAAAGTKCGCRCGCGTGCTRTGTGMTCTCATAAAGCACGCGCTTCCAACYRATCARAACKCGGGATTAATAACAGTTATTTTTWTAATGYATTGTATCATATACCTTTGGTAGCATACAGTTTTTGTTGACGTARTCATGAGTACAGCAGCTTTGTCCCCAGATACTCGAGGGGTACGTCATGTTGTCATTGTGCTGCTTTAATGTCTTCGGTTTCTCGAACACGTCAAGGTCTGGATCAAGGTGCACTCTCAAAAACGAACCAAARATTCCTTCGTCGATGTGATACATGTATCCCTAGATAGAAAACAAAACATTTCTAGAAAAAAAAACTAGTCACAATTTCTGGGACAGAAATGCTTCTCCTAACAATGGGCCTCTGATCTGCAAATATGATGACTCATAGACCCAGTATGGGAGATGGATGCTCCTAGTAATGGGCTCTTGATCTGAGAATATGATGACTCACAGACCCAGTATGGGAGATGGATGCTCCTAGTAATGGGCTCTTGATCTGAGAATATGATGACTCACAGGCCCAGTATGGGAGATGGATGCTCCTAGTAATGGGCTCTTGATCCGAGAATATGATGAATCACAGACCAAGTATGGGAGATGGATGCTCCTAGTGATGGGTTCCTGATCTGGGAATATGCTGGCTCACAGACCCAGTATGGGAGATGGATGCTCCTAGTAATGGGCTCTTGATCTGAGAATATGATGAATCACAGACCAAGTATGGGAGATGGATGCTCCTAGTAATGGGCTCTTGATCCGAGAATATGATGAATCACAGACCAAGTATGGGAGATGGATGCTCCTAGTAATGGGTTCCTGATCTGAGAATATGATGAATCACAGACCCAGTATGGGAGATGGATGCTCCTAGTAATGAGCTCTTGATCTGCAAATATGATGAATCACAGACCCATTATGGAAGATGGATGCTCCTAGTAATGGGCTCTTGATCTGAGAATATGATGAATCACAGACCAAGTATGGGAGATGGATTCTCTTAGTAATGGCCTGTAGATCTGGGAATATGAGGACTCTCAGACCAAGTAAGGGAAAAGAATGCTACTAGTAATGGGCTCCTAATCTGGGAGCATGGTTGCTTGAAGAGATGGATGCTCCTACTAGTAATGGGAAGATGTTGGCTCACAGACCCAGTGTGGGAAATAGATGCTCCTAGTAATGGGCTCCTGATCTGCACATATGATGACTCACAGACCCAGTTTGGCAGATGGATGCTACTTATAGGCTTCTTGATCTGCAAATATGATGACTGACAGATCCAGTGTAAACGATATATACGATATATACTAGTAATGGGTTTATATTTCTTGTTCAGAATATCGTCTTACCGTTTCTGTGTCCTCTCCATTAAATGTCACTGGAGGACAATCAATGTCTTTTTCTTCCAGATGATGTTTCTTGATCTCTTTGACCGTGGTAACGTTTGCCACAAGCGTACACGATGTGATAGGAAAATACCTGCCTGGTTCAGCAATGATCTTCACCCCACTCCCTTCGGGAAAGTATTTGTCGAGTGCTGTGTTGACCACTTCGCAAATCTGCATTCATATA